TTATATATATATATATATATATATATATATATATATATAAACAGACAATTTATTTATCAAAAATAGTAACAAGAAAAGTCAACCAACATTTATTGCATTATATTTTTAGCATTTTTTATTTTTTTTTTATTATTCCTAAAAAATCAGTCAGCTGTATATGCACCATAAATTCATGGGTTTATGGATTTAATTTAGGTAAATTTTGACTTATGCTTACAATTTCTCAAAAGTCAAAATTATTTCTCATTTTTTTATTAAAAAAATTGATTACCATAAAATCAAGAGTTGCGAAATAGCGAAAATACTATCATATATATCCTTTACTAATTGCAAGATTGTTTATTCAAAAAAATCGGATTGCATAGAAATCGGGTTAAAATATATAAAATTAGGCACGACAATTTTATAAAAGTGGAAATTCTCTCATATTTTATTAAAAAAATTGTTTACCATAAAATTAGGAATTTCGAATTAGGCAAAATACTATAACATGTATGTTTACCTAATTCCAACAGATCATGTTTATTAAAAAAAAAAAATCGAATTGCATAGAAACCGGACTCAATTTCAAATTGAAAACTAAAATTTAAAAATCTCTTATCATATGGCTATTACTTTCTTTAGTTCGGATTCTTTTTTAAACATAAAATAACGTTAGATAATATTAATTTGCAATTCAAAATGAAACCGGATTGGAGCATCCTAAAAATTTGAGTTTTGTTTAATCTTTTAGAATACAAATTTGAAATTGATTGCATACATTTGCAAAATAATAATGATTGCATACACCTACAAAATATCATGTATATCCTTCTAAATAATTAATTGATTTATTTAAGCCTATCTCGTATCCTAATATAATTTGTGGTGATAGACGATGTACCAAAAGATATAAATAATATTGTGTACAATTAATAATATATAAGTTACATTTTGTTTATTTCAATACATGTGTTTTACGTTCTTTCGATTATCCAATCATCTAAATATAAATATTTACCTTAATAAAATTAGCATGTGCATCGCACGGGTACAACACTATTATTAATTTAATTCATTCTTAAAATTCCACTAACAACTAACTATACTAAATTTTTCAAAATTAACTATGGTTAACTAAAATAACTCATTTTGAACAAATTATTTCATAAACAATCAAGCCCTAATTTTTTTTTCTTAAAAATTGACTCTTTCAAAAATTATTATAAAAAAAATAATTTTTATAATTTTAGAAAATATAAATGAATATGGGATAAAAGTGATATAAAAATAATAAGAAGATAATTGATAGTTACAAATATAAGTGGATGGATATTGTTTTTTATAACATATATAATCACTAGATTTTTTTAGATAATAATTTTTTTTTTTTAAAATTTCTAATTATGATAGTGTAATTGCAAAAAATGAAATAAATAGTTTTTTTTTTTTAAAAAAAAAATATTGTTTGATTCACACATTGACATAAAGCTTGACTAACTAAATAAAACTTTTATTTAGCTTTACATTATATTAAGTAGATTGTATATACAAAATTGAAATTAAATGACAAATATTTCAATGATTTAATTTTAATAAAACAAATCTTAAAGTAAATAAATAAGATCAGTTGCCACTCTCCCCCCACTGGAGAGAACTGATAGGCGACCTGAAGCCATAAGCAGAGGGGTTCACACACATCAATCGCAAATCTTCTTCGTCTTTCCACTCCAATTATCCACACAATTTTTACAGATATCTCATCAAAGTAAGCACATGAGGAGCGACCATGGTTCGGCAGCACCCACCTACTGTTCGATGAAATGCCTGTTACAATATGCGAGATTGATTTCATTCGTGTTTTCTAATTAATGGCCACTTTAACCTTCCCTCTCTTTTCATGCCCAGTTTCTAATTCCCATACTCTCTCTAGATTGTCTCGTGCAATAGTATCCGCGTCGCGCCCTAACAGCAGCAAAAGCCGCAACCATAAAAGGCTACAGCTCCACAAGAACCGTAGACGAACAGAAGCTCCTCCCGACTTCCATCCCAGTCTCCGAAAACCTTCGACCGAACGTGATTGTGAGGAAAATAATGATGCTCTTGTTGCCAATTCTGATGATTCTGAGTGGGACCCGGATGAGATCGAAGCCATTTCCTCCATTTTCCAAGGACGGGTCCCTCCGAAGCCAAACAGAGAAAGGCCTCTCCCGCTCCCCCTCCCTCACAAGACTCGGCCTTTGGGATTCCCCACATCTAAAAGAATAGTCAGTACTCGCCTTTCTCGTCCTAACAGGCAGCTCGTGTCCAACCAAGTCTACAAGAAGCCGAATTTCTTGATCGGCTTAGCCAGGGACATCCGGGCCCTACCTCCCGATGATGATGTGTCCAGTGTTCTTGACCGGTGGGCCCGGTTTCTAAGGAAAGGGTCACTGTCGCTCACGATACGTGAGCTGGGCCACATGAGCCTTCCCAAACGGGCCCTCCACGTCTTCACCTGGGTCCAGAGGCAGCCGCATTTGTTTCCGGACGATCGGGTCTTGGCTTCCACTGTCCGGGTACTGGCGCAGGCCCACGAACTGAAAATGCCTATCAACTTGGACGATAATTTTGTGGGCCTTGCGAGCAAGAGCGTGTACGAGGCAATGGTGAAGGGGTTCATGGAGGGCGGAAACTGGAGAAACGCATTGAGGCTGCTCTCAGCCGCCACACGAGGGAAAAGGATTTTGGACCCTAGCTTGTATGCCAAATTGATTATGGAGATTGGGAAAAACCCGGATAAGAGGATGCTCGTCTTGCCCCTGCTGGAGGAGCTCGGGAGAAGAGATGAGTTTGATCTGACTCAGCAGGACTGCACGGGCATCATGAAAGTCTGTGCCAGTCTGGGGAAGTTTGATGCGGTGGAGGCGTTGTATGGTTGGTTCAAAAAGTCGGGCAATGTTCCTAGTGTTGTTATGTACACCACTATTGTGCACTGCCGGTATTTGGATAATAAATATAAGGAGGCAATGGCTGTCGTGTGGGAAATGGAGGCCTCTGATTGTTTGCTCGATCTTCCGGCATATCGGGTGCTCATAAAGCTTTTTGTTGCTTTGGGTGATCTCTCGAGAACCGCAAGATATTTTACGAAGCTTAAGGAATCGGGTTTTGCACCGACGTACGATATCTACAGGTGCATGATTGGAATTTACATGGCTTCTGGGAGGTTGGCCAAGTGCAAGCAAATCTGCCGTGAGGCTGAGATGGCTGGGCACAACTTCAATGAACTCCAAGGATAAAATAAAGAAATGAATTTGGTAAAATTATGCCAAGTCTAGATTTCGACCTGAATTTTCTGTTGTGTTTATTTACTTTTCAATGTGAACAATGGTTGCTTGAATAGAGACTTTCTTAACTATTTTGCTAGCTCAAATAGAGTTCTTTAAGCTTATAGATTTTGTTCCAATTCTTACTGATTTTGCTAGATCACATACAATATTTAAGATTTCATTCAATACCTTCGTACACTGATACTACATATTATTTTTCCCCTTGGTTATTTGCGTGCTTAAGTCACTTCCAGATCTACATATATCTGGGTGGTTCATATGAAAGAAGAATCAAGCAAGCTTATTATGATTCTGTAATGTGACTGTATAGATTATTTCATCACAGTAATGTTGAAGGATTTGAGATTGTGTATGCTGTTGCCTTTTATATGCGACAGGGCTGCAAGCATATAACATGAATAAATATAACATCTCGTGAGTAACGATACTCAGTTTTACAATTATGACATTTACAATTATCAATATGGAATTTTCTTTTCACGAATTCAATTGGATAGTGAATGGAGGAAGAGAGTGGAACAGGGAACTCATCCATACTCTTCTTTTTGGTAACTCCACAGCAGCAGCATCACACAAATGAAGGGGCTCAAACCGGCCGAGGAGGACAGATTTTATTGGCTGCTCGATAATAAAAGTCTCTTCAGCCTACAAGCACCTTATTCAGTCCAACAATCTGCATCTAGATACTCATTTTGAAATGAACTTGGGTTTTGGAGGTGCAAGGGAAAGTAAAGCATTTGGTGTGGAGATACCATTTTGGGATCCTCCTTGTGAGTTTAAATCTCAAAAGAAGAGGCGTTGAAGTGGATGTCATATGTCAGGTTTGTGGGAAGATGAGGAAACTGTGGAACATCTATTCTGGAATTGTAGAAGTGCCTCGATTGTATGGAGCCTAGCCCCAGTGGACAAGAGAGAAGTGCAAGGGAGTGAGCTTCTGGTGGTATATGCTTTATTCCTTAAGCCACAAACAAATTGACGAGGAGCATAATTGAGTTCTCCACGTACATCCTTTGGTGGCTTTGGAAGGCCCGTAATTTGTGGGTGTTTCAAAAAACAAGGATCCCAGAGTCAGTGATTGTCAACAATGCGGTTCGTGAGTGGCAGGACTTTCAGTTGATCAGCTCTCAGGGCAGTTCTTCTAGTTTGTGGGTTACTATTTCTGTTTTTTCTTTGTTTCTGTATTGTACTGCTAAGACTGGATTGAGCTGCCTCTATCTCTACCCACATTTAGATTGAGCTGGATGTTGCCGCTGTCGCCATCTTCTTTACTTCGGGTCACTAATCCAATACCCACTCGTGCGC